GGGAAAGAGAAAGGAGAAAATAGAAGAGGAAACAATCAGGAGTTAGGAAGGGTCAAGGGGAAAGCAATGACCATGGGAACAGGAAGAAAATGAATTTCAGAAGAATAGGAACCGCCCCCCGCCCCACCCCACAATTCCTTTGTCTCTAGATTAAGGCTTGTCTGAGGAGCAGTTGTGGTCTCACCCTCCCTTCAACCCAAGCAAAATAAATTCTGAGACAGACAGTCTTCCCAAGAGGACTCAGTTTTATCCTTCCTTAGAGTGCCTGGGGAGCTAGAGAACAACAAGTGGGTCCTCCTGGCTGGACTCAGTGCACAGCACTCTTGCACTCAGGTCCCCTCACAACTTTTGCACCTATGATTTCTGGTCTTAGGCCCGGGAATGAAAATCTAACCTTAATGGGTGGGTAGAGACATTGGGGGCCAGGATAAAGTCACAATTCCTGACCTCAAGATGCTCAGCTCCCACAGCATGATCCAAAATAGAAACCAATATGGCACGTCTTGGGAAAAGCGATAGGAAGCACAAAAGGTGACAAGGCTGGGGATGGGAGCCCCCTCCCTCCGGTCCCCTAAGCAAGTGTCTTGGAAGTCGCATTAGGCTCTCTCTCCTCCCCACTCCCCCTCCCTCAAATCCCTCTGTACCCTGTGGGGTCCGCCTCGGAAGTGTCTCTCATCCGCGTCCTCTTGTCTCCATTGCCCCTGCCGTCTGTGGCAACGGAGACAGATGAGTTCTGCATGAAGGTGACCCCAAGTGAGGACATCAAAGTCCTCCCTACACCCCGCTCTGGGTTAAATGTGCTGTTTCTCATGAATAGATAACACGAAAGGGTTGCTAAATGATCTCTTCCCTTTCATTCTGGAATAAGATTTTTTCCCCTTAATGTTCTTTTTATACGGTTCTGTCTCATGTCTCAGAAAATTGCTTCTTTTGAAATCCATTAACCTGATAAAGGCTAATGAATATTTTAGGGGCCCTTGGAAGGTAAGCAGGAGGGGTTCAGGCCGATGTCTCCAAAATCCTGTTACGCTTCACTGAGTGTACAGCTCAGTACCTGACACATCTCACTAGAGGTCCTAACTCTATTTACACCCACCTCCCGCTTGATGCCTGAGACCAGACAGTGGGCTGGGTGCAGGGATCTTGGGGTGGGTCTCTGACCCAGGTGAGGCTGACCTAGGGGTGTAGGTGTGGCACAAAGGAAGATCTGAAGACACAGTCTAGGGGTGGTGAAAGAGTGGGGAACTAAGGAGAGTTCTGAATGAGGAAGCATCCAATCCAAGGAGACCCAATGCACACTGGACTTGGGGTTTGCAATCACGGATGGCCAGTCAGAACATCCTGGGGATGGTCTCTGGGGCATCAGGAAACCTCTGACCAGTCCCAGGGTGGAGAGCGGACAGATGGCAGTGCCGTGACCCCGTCCACACCTCATGCCCTTTGAAATACAGGCAGAACACAATCAGGCAGCACTGGGGAGCTCCCCTGCCCAGGCCACCATCACCACTCTTCCAGCGGCCTCCCTCTCGGGCCTGGCTGCCATGTTGAATCCATGCACTGGCTGACTCTACATCACTCCGCATCTGCCGAAGCTGGGTGGAGGCTGGTCCTCTGGCCCACTTTCTTTCACAACACTTACAGCATTTTTGTAGGACAATACAAAAAAATTCCAAGGAGGAAGCAAAATAAGCCCGTAGCTTAACAGGAGTAGCAATCCCTATCAACGTTACAATCTTCTCCTAGGCATCCCCACATCCCCCAGCTTTTCTGAAATGTGCTCCATGAACAGCAGCCCTTGTGATGTCCCACCTTAAAAAACAGTGAAGCCTTGGGGTTTTTGTTTGTTTGTTTGTTTGTTTGTTTTGCGGTATGCGGGCCTCTCACTGTTGTGGCCTCTCCCGTTGTGGAGCACAGGCTCCGGACGCGCAGGCTCAGCGGCCGTGGCTCACGGGCCCAGCCGCTCCACGGCACGCGGGATCCTCCCGGACCGGGGCACGAACCCACGTCCCCTGCATCGGCAGGCGGACTCTCAACCACTGCACCACCAGGGAAGCCCGGTTTTTGTTTTTGTTTTTTCATTTCCCATGTCATTAGCCTATTCAAGGTTCCCAGCAGCTTCAAAGTATACACCTGTAACAATTTTTCAACCTTTTGGGAAAACGGAACTTTTCTATTTATAACATTCCTGTAAGCATCCCATGAAACAAGAGTTGGGAAAGGTCTATTTGGAACACACTGTGCGTACAACTTGAAAGTCTGCTTATCTCACTTAACATCAGCATTAGATGGCTGTATAATATGGATACACTACATGATACTATACTATATTTTATACTTCATTATTCCCTTATTCTCAGGTATTCATTGTGTACCAGCAGTTATAAATGATACCACAATGAATTTCTTTTTGCACAAATATTTGTCTGCATTTCTGATTATATCCTTGGAAGAGATTCCTGGAATGGAATTACTGGATCAAACGTTGGAGGTATTTTTGAAGGCTCTTGACAATACATCATCCAATTTTTTCCTGCAATAGTTTGTGCTTATTTATACTCCTGCCACACAGTGTGAGACTGCCCGTGCATTGTACCTTTACCACATTGAGTATTTAAAAAAATAGAAAATCCTGGCAATTTGGAAGGGGGGATACGTTTTATCTTATTTTAATATGGGTCACAAAAGATGGCAAGATTTCTATTTTCCAAGGTCAGAAGGTAGGGCCTTCTGGGAGTGGGGAGCAGCCTGAGCTGACCTAGAGGTAGTAAAGATTGGGACCTTCCCCAGTGAGCTCCTAACTCGGCATCCAAACAGAGGCTATCAGTCAGACTAGGCTTACTCCTGCAGACTTCCTGCACCAAGTAATCTATGAAGGCAGCTGAAGGAAACGCCTAATTAGGGTTTCACAAATGTGGATCTATGATGAGAAAGAGACCCTCATTAACCCTCTGCAGGGACAAACTGTAACTGAAAAATGATCAAGCCAGGAGGCAGCAAAAATAACTGTGTTAAGGCAATGGCTCCACCATGAAAGGAGGAAATTAGGCAAAGTGACCTTTCCTGGGGGGAGAGAGGAACTTTCATTCCTGAGTGTGCATGAATCCCTGGGGAACCCAGCTGGCACCAGGCATGTCCAATGCCACCCCCAGAGACAATGCCCGAGCCCTCAGCTGGACCAAAGACACTTTGCCCTCTGGAAACCTGCAGGTGTGCTCCCACGGTGTCTGGTGGCAGCTGCTGTTTAGCTGGGGAATGAATCAGAGACCGAGGCCCAGAGACAAATGCTGGGTATCCGCCCCAAAGGGTGGATGGCAGGGACAATGCCAAGGAGATCTGAGTTGGGAGCAGGCTGGTACTCCAGGGTTGAGTTGGAGGCTGGGGAAGCCTCCCATGAGAGGGGAGGGGATCAGGCTGCCCACAAGTTGGTCCAAATGTCCTTGAAAGGGCCACACTGGAAGTTCTGAGTTGGTTTTCCTAGGGCGTCAGGTATTTTTGAATGCAGTTATTCAATGTGAGATACATTTACCTATGAACCAATGTGCGAGGGAATGTACTAAGGGCTGCTTGGGATGCAGCACTTATCAGATACATGCTTTGCCTGCAAGATTTTCAGTCTGGGGCAGGGCATGGTGGTGGTGGTTAGGTATCAAATGCACAGAAGACTCAGATGCAATCGGAATTGAGATAAGTCTTACAGACAAGGTGCAAAGCACTGTGAGATCCAGACTTCTGGTTGGGAGAAGGTGGCATTTAGGGTGGCTAAAACTGTTAAGATTTCATTAGGAATAGATGGCAAGGAAAAATTCCAGGAAAATGGAGCAGAAACCTTTTATTCCCTCATTCATCTGTCCTTTCAACTGGCAAAGAAGCTACTAGGTTTGGGGCAAATGGAGATTCACTCATTCGCTCACTCCCATAGACATTTACTAACTGCATATCCTGCTTTTTGAAGAAAAGAAGGCACCTGCCCTCATGGAGCTTCCAGTTCAGACACAGAATTGACAGAAAAGCTTGTAACAGTTGTGACTCACGTCCACAGATTTGTGCAAGGCACCAGGGTGATGCCGTGGAGGGGGCGGGCATCTGATTGCACTGGGAGGAGGGAAGGAGCACAGACACAGAGCTTGGAGGGGTCACGTTGGTTTGGGCAAGGTGAGGAGTGGCAGGTGAGGCTGCAAGGATAGCTTGGAACTGAGGCCCGAGGAATTGAACAGCTTTTCTTCTGTAGGCAACAGGACTTATGGGCGTTTGGGGGCTGGAGGAGGATGGTCGTCATAGCAACAATCAATCTTGGAACATGCTTCTCAATGTCAAAGCAGCTTTTCCTCTCCCTTGTACTATTTAATCCTCACTGCAACCCTATAAAGCAGGAGGACCAGTTCTGTCTTGGGCAGAAAATTATTAGAAAATACAGGGAAAGAAATGACATGGTTTCTAACCTCAAGGCGTTGCTATTGGATGTTCAGTGAACCACAACCCCATGGTGGGC